CTCCTAATCCTACTTTACCTCCTTAATGCTAATCCTTATATAGTTTATTTTTAGGGGTTAATAAAGGGGGGTTCTGCCGCAAGCAACCATCCACTTGATTAGAAATCTTAGAGTTTGTTATTTTCTTTTAATTTTTGAATCGTGTTTCAGTAGTATTTTATTCTAGGGTTAGGTTAAACCCTAGCTATGATTGATACTTGATTTATTCTTTTAAATTCTCAATTAATAGTTTATATTGTTCATGTTTAATTGATTGTACTTATGCCAATACTAGATTAGGGATGATTGGTATTGTTATTATTCCCTTGTCTTGATCGCAACGGGAGTTGGGTTTCGACGGATTTGAATAGATCAATTAAGGACATGAAATTCTCCACGGAAGTAGGTAGAATGGATTGATAGGAAGTTAGGGTACCAGACTTAATGTCTCTAATTTGCATGATTCCATAAAAGTAGGTTTGATTGTTAATTAGGGAAGACATTGACAACTCAGAAGAGATCTTTGGTATTTTATAGGGCGTGCCTTTCCTTGTGAACATATAATTAATTGGTTGGGATAGGAATTTGTCTTGTATTGATTATGCTAGTGGTGATACTTAATTTTAGACGTTCTTATTATTATTTGATTCGTATTTGATATTTCAGTAGTCGTAGTTACTTAATCCATCATTCCATCTCTTATTAGTTTTGTCATTGGTAAAAGTTGATTGTTAAACAACCATCCCTGACTTATCCTACTACATAATTAGGAGGTCTAGTTAGGTATTATTTTTGTTAGGTGCACGACATGCCTATTTGAATGCAACACATTAACTCTGAAAAAGCAAGCTATTTAATTTGATATACTTCGCTCCTATTCAAGATAAACAATCTAGTTGACATAAGACCACCAATTTTATCCTAAAAATTCAATATTACTAATTTTTACAGGCATCAGACATAAACAAACTTGGAATCTTACCTCTTTGACCTCTTCGACAGCATAATAAGCCTTGGTTGGTATTCCCAGCTCTTCTGGTTGTACATCAATGATCACCAAGACAGGATTTGGGACGTAGCTACAAACCCCAAATATATGTAAAGCTATAGTCAGTTCAAAAAAAGAAGGGAACATTAATATTGCTTAATAACCTTGTAAGAGACACGTTCAGAATTTTGAAGTCTGTGTATAGATCAAGTTCCAATCAGTTTAGTCAATCATCTTGTCAAGATGAAAATCGAATGATAACAGAAACAACTCATTCATATTCTTAACAGTAAATAGGGTAATGTTTGACACATTCTGCTCAACCATACAAAATCCTTTGCATATTACAACAAACTAACAGAACTTATGCTCACCCAAATTTGCACGAACAGAGATACTGACATATTAGTCAAATTCACGGTGAATGGGTTACACCAAATCTCACAAAAATTACTCACGACACCATCTTAGTTACCCTTGAGCCCAAGTATGGTCTACTTCTAAGTCTTTTAGTATTAGCTCATATATCTTTCACTGACTGTTTAGCTGCCAAGGATTTATCCTCAAGAATTATCCAACAATATATCAGTCACAAGATCCTTATCAAAAATAAGCAACTTGAACCACCTATGAATGAGTCGAATTTTCAATTGATTTTCTACATTACTAAGTAACAATGGAAAGTAACAATGGAAAAAAAAAAATACAGCATAAGTGAGAACGCAACTTCATTTTGAGCTCCGGGGAAAAAATAAAATAATAAGTTATCTTACTCGTTAAATAATCTGTGGATATCCAAATCATTCTCCCGTAGCTTAGGACCAGTGCTATACCAACCTACAACATGCTCCTTTGCTGAAAAATAAGAAGAACCAGTACGAGATGAAATCAAGTTCAAGCTGAAAAACCATAAAGGTAGGGATACCAGGTGTGTTAATCAGAACAGAATTACCATTAATTCTCCTAAACATGGAAAACATAGATTCATGGTAGTTGTGGTCAAGAAACCAAATGCTGGGGTCCTTGTCATCTTCCTCAAAGGGAACTGCATTTTTTGAGTCAAATATCAGAGCAAGACCAAATTAGAAAAAGAGAGGATAGAAAATGAATTCCTCAACTATGAGGTTAAACCCACCATACAAAGTTACAAACCATACAAGCATTAGTTTAACCACTTGAATTGAATAGATAATAAACACCTTGCACTGTAAAACCAAAATATAAAATTCAGAATACAATCAATCTAAACCGCTGTATACATGGATACACTACATCAGAATATCAAATGAGCTGTTGGGCAGTGCATAAAGACCTAGTAAACTTCTCTCAGATAACAGCATGTAAAACACTTTCAAAAAGTCAGAAGAGTAGTTTGACCACAAAGGCAGGACAAAAATAAATTCTCATCCAAACATCTGGATATCTACGGTCTACGGAGTATCTATCTAGAGCTATCTATCTGGAGCTCAAGACCATCCAAAACTTTCTGGTGTCAGGGGCATTGTGGAGATTCCATCCCAGCCATTGTTATTGTGGATGGGGCTTGGAAGAAGGATAAAAAGGCAAGATATAAACCAGGACAAAGGTGCAATTAGAGTTTTTGCAAACTCAAGCATTCAAGCAAGATCCCCAGACAAGCTATATGGTGGGGAATCTACCATGTGAAACAAGGGCACACAAACATCGAAGTCTACACAGACAGCTTGTAAGCGATACAGGGACTGCAAGATCCCCAGAAGTGTGCTTGGGAAAACCGCGCGCACGTCTATCCTTCATCTCACTAGTAATTTAAATTATTTGTGTTGTAGTAAAGTCCCTAGGGGGGTGGAAGCTAGAGCTCACACTCTTGCCAATCAGGCAAGGAAAGAAGCATAGATCCCACCTCTTGTAGTTCTTAGTTTGTTTTCCATCTGCCCAAAAAAAAAAAAAAAAAAAAAAAAAAAAAAAAAAAAAAAAAACAATACTAAAAGCAAATCCTGCATCACGGGTCCAGCTCTAAACCAAGAACATCAATTATTTAATTTACCCATTGACAAGTATACAGGTTGTGCCCTACTGAGAAGAGGCAGATTTTTATTAAAAAAAACAGAGTTCATAAGTGCCATCCAAGTAATGGAGTAAAGTTTCCACAGAAGACAGACATAAAGGACTTCACAGCTATATAATATAGCTACTTCTAATAGGCCAGCCACATAATTTACACAATCATTGTCCACTTCATACAAATTGCCAAGTAAAGAGAGCATAACCTACTAAACTGCTTCAATGGCGTGACCATCATTGGATAGTGTTTCCCTAATTTTCATGTTCTTGAAGTGTCATCAATCTAGGAACAAGCTATAACAGTAGTTTCAAAGCAGCGGTTCATCCTATTCAAAATATAGATGCAGGATCATTGTATCCTAAGTATAGATACGGATTCTCATCATATACTACGAAATCAAATTGTGACCCTTATCTTCCACCAACTGCCCAAATTTAACACAATTCGATCAATTGGCAGCTCAACACCAGCATTTACTCTCCTCAGGAGCTCTGATCTCTTCCTAAAGTTCTAAATCTATACAAGTTCTCAAATGCATCGAGCAACAAGGCTTTGAAATTCATTCCAATAAGAAATTAAAAACCTTATGTTCACAAACAATACATCGATGTTGAGTAAATGAAACCCTAACGCTTCAGCATACAACAACAAAATTCAAACTCCTAGAAAAATCGCAAACCCTAAACCCTAAAATCTAACATACCCCGATAATCAAACAAATTACAACCAAAACAGCACACAGAATTAAAAAATAACAACGAAATTTGAAATCCGAAACCCTAAATCTAACAAAAAGCAATAATCAAACGAATTACTACCAAAATCAGCACAGAAATAACCAATTGAAAGAAAAAGTACTTAAAGTTGAATAGTTGAGATCGAGAAATTACCGGCATAACTGTTGGTAACATCGACAGTACCCTTGAAAGAGCTACCAAGCAAAACACCGACGACGCGCTTCTTAGTGTCGCGAGCAACACGATTGTAGTGATCGACGATGCTGAGAAGAACCAATGGATGAACAACCACCTTCTCGATTGCTCTAGAAGAAATCTGTTGCGTCTTAATTACATCCATTTTCGACTTCGAGCTCTTCTTCTTCTTCTGGTTTTCGACTTCCTTTGGTTTCTTTATGAAGGGGATACCTTTCTTGTTTTCAACAACAAACGTATAGCATACTCCGTATAAGTACTCCAATATAACTTCGTACTGCGTATTACTCCGTATTTCATTTCATTTTATTTCACTAGTACATTGATATAGGGAAATCTCCAATTTTTATATGTGACCGGAGTTCCTTCGATAGTGTTATAGTGGTTACTCGGACAGTGTTATAGGTGTTATAAAGGTTACTCGGTTAATGTTACAGGGGTTAACGCGTTGGAGTGAAATATGTACTTTGATTTTTATTTTTTTTTGATTTATAAATAAAAAATATTCATACTTCGTACCATATTTTTAAAAACATATAAATCTACTTACCCAAAAAAAAAAAAAAAAAAAAAAAAAAAAAAATCTATCAAATTGAAATAATATATGACAAATGAATTGAATAAAAACATCATTTCAACAAAAATACGATAATGTGTATTAATTTTATCTACTTTGCCAAGGTAATTAACTTTTTTATTTTTTTTTATTTTTTATAATAAAGGTAAGAAAAAGGAAAAACATTAGAAAACCCTCCTCACGAGGAGGATTCCTAATGGATTTAAGGAAAGAATGAGAATTAAACTAGAGTTATTACAAGGGATAATATCCATATTATCGCTAAGTAAATGATCCACATTTGCTATCTAATTTGCTTTAATTTGACTAGATAATATAGTAGAAATACTCTGATAGCAGACCCTATATGGCTATATGCAAGTAATGCAGGCATTGATTGGTGTTGCTTTACCAGATGTGCAATATGTTAGACGGTGGAATCTGAAGGGAACAAATGGCGATACTGATGTGGGCTTTCACGTTGCAGTTTTAGTGGTAGGCTATTAGCAACGTGGACTTCTTGCAAAGTGAAAATTTTACCCTACACCCTAGTGTAGGGTGTGTTCCCTACACCCCCCCTATGCTACGTCGTTTTGTAGCTGGTATTGAGTTCCCTTTTGCGATTCTTTCCTTTTTTTTTTTTTTTTTTCCTTTTTTTCTTTTTTTCTTTTCTTCCTCTTTTTTCCTTTTTCCTTTGATTCTTATTATTCAATTTATGTATATATATGATTTTAAACCCTATTTTTTCTCTCTCTTCAATTGATCAACCAACCTCCATTTTTGATCTACATTTTTCTCTCGCTAATTCATCTTCTTCATTTGATTTTTTGAACGAATTCGTTAATTGTTACCGATCATCAATGGCGAATTCTGCATCTGGAGATTGCGTTGATTTTGATCGCGATTGCGAGCGTGTGTTTCCTTCTGGACTTCGTTTCGTTGATTCGTTTGTGCAACAATGTGAGTAATTGTGATCATAATTTTTCAATTTTTAATTATCCCTAATTTGTTCTGTTATAATGCTCTGTTAATTTGAACTTAATTGATGTATTATTATTCACTTTCGATTTTTGAATTTACTACTTTGATTACATTATGATGAACGTTTTTGGATTGTTGTACTTTGTATGAACATTTTGTTGCTTCATTTGTTGTTTCATTTGTTGTTTTCTCTGTGTTTTAGAATTGTGTGTTTTTGTCGTATATTTTGTAGATTATACTTTCAATTAATCGTTTATGTTTTCTTATTCATTGTTACTAATGTGTTTATGTTCAGTCTTAAAGTCATTTTTGATCATTTATTTTTACATTTTTATATCGATATTATGTGTAGTGGTAAATAATGAAAATATTGTTCAAAATATTATGTGCTGAAATTCTTTTTGCAATTGATCATGTGCTGTTTTGATATTGAACATTTTACTTATTTGTTATTGTTCATTCATGAAACTCTTTATGATCATTTATAATTGTATATTGTGCAGTGGAAAAAAATGATGATATTATGTATTTAGAAGCAGAACAGTCTGAATTAAAGGATAAAGAATTTAAATCTGAAGATGAAGCTTTCGAAGCGTATAATGAATATGCTTTTAGGAAAGGTTTTGGAATTCGAATTGGGAAGAGTAAGAGAAGAAGAGATGATTCTTTTTTGATGAAAAGATTTGTTTGTTGTAATGAGGGATTCAAAGATAATAAGTGTAAGAATAAAAGGATTTATGAGAAGTTGGATCATCGAACTGGTTGTTTAGCTTTTGTGCAGTTTCATATTGATCATTTAGGGGTCTATACATGTACAAGACATGAAATGGTTCATAATCATGCTATGATTCCTCCTGAAAAAAGGCATTTGATAAGGTCTCAAAGAGATGTGAATAAAGAGCAGCTTCTTTTCATTTCAACAATGAAATTGAGTGGAGTCAAAGTTACTGATTCTTTGAGGGTTCTAAAGAAGGAGGTTGGGGGATCTCCTAATCTTTGTTTTACTGCTTCTGATGCTTATAATGCATTGTCATCTGAAAAAGCTGCCCAAATTGAAGGATGTGATGGTAACCAATTGATTAAATATTTTGCCAAGAGACATGTGGATGAGACAGATTTTTATTATGATTTTGAACAAGATGATAGTGGTGCTTTAGTTAGTTTTTTTTGGCGTGATGGTAGGATGATGAGAGATTATCATTACTTTGGAGATTTGTTGGTTTTTGATACAACTTATAGAACTAATAAATATGGAATGATATGTGCTCCATTTGTTGGGATGAACCATCATGGTAACAATGTCATGTTTGGTATGGGTTTTATTCTTAATGAGCGCACCGAGTCTTTTGATTGGTTGTTTGATACATTTTTGCACTCAATGGGGAGGAAAAGTCCCATTACAATTATGACTGATCAAGCACAAGCGATTGCAGCGGGTATAAGAAACATTTTTCCTTCAACTGTTCATCATCGTTTATGTGTATGGCATCTTGAACAAAATTCTAAGAAACACATTGGAGCATTGAGAGCTTTGGAAGGCTTTACAGATTTGTTTGGATATCTTTTGAAGTATTGTGAAACTCCTGCTGAATTTGAATATTTCTGGAAAAGGTAAATTATTGTTTTTTGTATTTATTTTTTATTTTTATTATGTGATATATTTGATTATTATGTGATATATATATGAACATTTAGTGTTTTACATATGATCATACAATTTACTTTGTTATGTATGTTATCATAATATTATTAGTGTCCATATTGTTTATGATCATTATTCTTTACACAAATGTACATATTTTAATTTATAATTTGTTCATTTTTAAATTAATATATGATCATTTCTGTTATACAGGATGTGTGATAAATACAAATGTGAAAATGATGATTGGTTATGTGATTTGTATAAAATAAAGGAAATGTGGTGTCCTGCTTATTCTAAGAAGTATTGGTCTGGTGGTATATTGTCTTCTCAACGTAGTGAAACTACTAATAAGTCAGTTTCACAACGTCTTAATAAGACTCAAGGTTTATGTGATTTTTATCATGTTTTTCTTGATGTCATTTCTGAGTGGAGAAGTAAGGAAGGTGCAAGAGATTACAATACTCTGAGGGGTAATAGGCACCTAGCTTTTGCTAATATTGGTATATTAGATCATGCAAGATCATTGTACACTATTCAAGCTTATGTTCTTTTTGAAGAGGAGTTCATTAGGGGGACAGCTTATGATCATGTTGATAATGGTTTGCGTTTTCCAGAATATTCATATCTTCTTTGGAGGCCTGGGAAGGATATAATTAAGCATGAAGTTGTTTTTAATAAGGAAACACATGCAATTTGTTGCACATGCATGTACTTTAGTGAGACTGGTTTACTTTGTTCTCATTCTCTTCGAGTATATCATTTGCATTGTGTGCGTAATATTCCACAAGAGTATATAATGAAACGATGGACAAAGGCTGCCATGTGTAGTCATGGTATTGAAGAACCTACTTTGAGGACAAATGTTGTGGCTACTAGTGTTTGGAGGTCACAAACAATCAGAAAGTTTGTTAAGTTGATAACAAGTTGTCAGAATTCTTTGAATGCAAGGGCAGAGGTTGAGTGTTATTTCAATCTGTTAAAAGAAAAGGTTGAGAGTGTATCAGGTGTAATTGACTTTAGTGAACCTGTTAAAGATGTTGAAATTGTTGATCTTGAGATCAAGAATCCTCCAAAAGTTAGGCCTAAAGGTGAGAGGAATGTAAGGCCTAAGAGTACCTTGGAGAAGCAGTGTAACAAGGCAAAGGGTAATTTCAAGAGGAAAAAGTCTCTGTACACTCCTTACAAAAGGGGTATAGGGCAAGCAGTTGTACAGGTATATGATCATTTCATATTTTCAAATTGATCATTTCAGTTTTCGTAAATGATCATTTATGTTTTTTTTTAAATAGGAACTTGATGAGAACGGTTGTGCTGTTACTTATGCTAATTCTATTAGTGATCCCATTGAATTGATTGTTTTGAGCAATAAACGGGCTCAGGTAAATTCAAATGTGCCAAAAAAAACATTTTATTTATATTTTATTAATATTGATTTTTATAATTTAAAAATATAGGCCGGCTTAAAATCAGCTGTTGTAGAAGAAATTCCTTCTAGTTCTAAGGAATCAAATCATAGTATTTCCAATGATTTTGATCAGGTATATGAACATTTATGATCTATATTATAATTTTTTTTTATTTAATTTTTTATTTTTTATATTTTTTTTTGGTTTTTTTTGTAGGCTACTGGTGAAAGCTCTCTTTCATCTATCATATCTATTGATGTTGATATTTCATCTATTGCTAAGGTTTTTTTTTTTTCCATATTTGTTTGTATAAGTGTTTGTAACTGATCATATACTGGTTTATTAATGATCAATTTAATTTTTTTTAAAGGCGAAGGATTTAAATCTTGAAGGTGTTTCTGCTGTTCAACCTTGTTCTAATTTTGGTGCAAATAAAGGTGCTTCTGGTGTTAAAACTTACTCTCAAATTAATCCAAGAGTTCCAATTCATACTAGTGCGTCAACAAAATCTCCTGTTGTTATTCAACCTACTGTTCCCAGGAATGTTCAAAATCAAACTCAGAATTGTTCAAACACCAATCCAGAAATGATCATATCCAACTCCAGGAATGTTCAATCAACAAATGTTCAAGTTATTTCTCCTACGGTTCAAATAAATGATCAAGGATTTCCTGTTCAGAATGTTCAAGTTACTCCTCCCACAGTTCAAAGAAATGATCAAGGTGCTCGTGTTCCAATTCTTCAATCAAGAAATGTTCAATTAGGTTCTAAAAAGATTTCTTCTAAATATGATAAGTTGTTAGCCTTTTTTGATACAAGTGTAGCTAAACGTTTGGCTAATAAAGATAAATAATTAGTATTCCAGAACTTTATAAACATTAGACTTTTTTGTAATGTTGATTTAATTACTATTTTGTAATTTTGAATTTTCGATCTATTATATAAAAAACTTTCATTCAAAGATTAAAATGAAATATCAATTACAATAATATTAAAATAAAATCCATAAGTCTACTTCTAAAAAAAAAAAAAAATAGTCATATATAAGAAATGAACATATACATAGTTGTAAATGAACATTTGAAACTACAAAGTTGCAAATTTTCTAGCTTTCCTTCTATTTGCTCTTGATTCAGTGTTTTCTTCAAATAACATCAGTTCTGCTGTGTATTGGAGCCTTAGATTTCTAATTTGTTCCACCTGTTGAACAAAATGAATTGTCAAATTTTAATTAAACAATCTTTACTGTTTCATAAATGAATATTATATCTTAAATAATTGATCATTTATAACTCTTACATTGTTTGGTTTTAAATCACAAATCCAGCTCTCATTAGGATCAGCAGTGAAGGTTTCCATATGCTTCATAATGTAAACTCCACAGTTTGTATAGTCATTGTTGCTACGCCATTTCATCTTTTCCAAAACAACTGTGTAGTCTTCAATTCTTTTTGCATCTTGATATCCAAGGTGTTTCATGTACTCTGCCAATCCTTTTAACTGATAGAAAAAAGAGTAAAAATTGTTTAGAAGTTTGTATTGTGATGAAGACATGAACAATTAATAAAATATAATTGATCATGTAGTCAACTATAAATGAACATATTATCTCACCATCATTTTTGGTTGTTCTTCATATTTTGCTTGGACTGATACCTTTTTTGGTAGTTTTCTATTGTCAATTATATGAATTTTGTCTTCTATATGATTGACGCACAACAGAAAAAAATGTTGAGAAGTTGATACTGGGAAGAAGACCTGAACAAATTATATAATGTTATTGGACAATATATTGAAGGTAATTGAACATTTGTATTAAACAAGAATTAATACCTGTTTATATCCAACAATGCTGTCAATTTTATTCAACTTCAGTTCATTGTCAATTCTTTCTATGAAGGCATTAATTCTTGTCTTCATTGATGATCCTTCTTGACAAACTCTATTTGTGCACATAATGTGCTGTTGAAATACAAACAAACATATAGAAGTTAAATGAATTTTTAGCAATTATTTATCATAGGAAAATAGAATCAATAATATAAAAAAAGAAGAAAGACTAACATGAAGCACTGTTGAGAAATAAATCTTGTTTCTCGGCTTTTTATGATTAAGAAACCTTGCCCATCCATCTATGACACAATTTGTCACTTCAACATCATCTCCAAGAGTTTTCATTTCATTTCTATTGATGAGATTCAAGCCATCATAGTATAAGAGTGCACTGCATTATGAACATTTAATAATATGAATGTGAACATATTTTTATAAAAGATATTAAACCTTAAGTTTAATTAGTGTAAGTAATTACCTTTCATCTTTTCCACCAAGAGCAAAGTCTACTGCAATTTGGTTCATGGCTTTCTCATCTTTAAACAGATCCTTGTACTTGACCAAGTAAGGAGATCGGAAAGCAGGAGGAATTGTTTTCTTTTCGCGTTTTGGTCTTGTTGTTCAATATAAAATATTGTTAAATTAAGAAAATTATGAGGAACATAAATGAACATTTGAGTGTATATAAATAAATTTGAAATTATACCTTTCAACCTTTTCCTTTTCAGTTTTTTTCTTCTTTTCTGCAATTGACTTTTTCTTATCATCATTCCTGGTCATATTACATAACACAAATGTACATTTAGGTATATGAAAATGTTCATTATTATTTTTGAACATTTACTTAATATAAATAATGTACCTTTTTGTGACTTTTGAGGATGAAGCAACAATCTTCTTGTTTTCACTGAAAAGTGAAACAATGTCAGTACATATTAATAAAATAAAAGCTTCTTATGTAACACCCTGAATCATTTTCAATTCATAAAATGAAAGATATTGATTTAACATAAACCTATTGATTTAACATAAACCATACATTCATATTACATATTCAACAAAATAATGTTCACACATACAATAGTTTGAGAAACACCAGTTTCAAGTTACAACACGATAGTAACATAAGTTAAATTGTTCCATCTAGATATTTTATCCTACACCATTACATAACCCTAATAGTAAGACATGTCTTCAGGATTTTACCCCTCCACTTTTTCATCATTTTTTGTTTTTTCAAAAACATCTTCCTTGTTTTGTTTTCCACCTCCAACTGTGTTTTTTGGATCATCACTTTTTTCACCACCATCTGACCTAGGGTCAGCATCAACCACTGAACCAGATCCTGCATCTAAGAAAAAATTTAATTAGATATAATATAATTTCTTTGTAAATGAACATTTGAGTATTTATAATTGAACATTATACCTGTTCTAGGCAATCCTTCATTATCTGACCTAGTGTCAGCATCAAATTTTGAACCAGTTGCTGCGTCTAACAAAATAATACAATTAATAATGAATATTTCTTGTTTGTAAATGAACATTTTACACTTTTTAATTGAACATTATACCAGTTCTAGAAAATTCTTCAATTCTTTGTTCTGAAGCTGCTGAAGTTTTACCCACATCCTTTTCTCCAGCTGTATTATAAATCATCATTTTGGAGATACACTAAGTTAATAGTATTTACACATAATAATTAGAAATGAACATTTCTACTTAAGTTTATGTACATTATTATTAAATATATGAACATATTACCATTTGTTGAAATTATTGGTTGTTCAATTATATCACCAAGTGTTGAAAAGGTGGGCCCTGTTTCTGTTTAGGACAATTTAGACCACAAATTTAGAATTTTTCATATAAAAATTAGGATATATAGTCTCTTTTAGTTAGAATTTACCAATGGCTGGAGAAGGTGGAGTCAACCCCAAGCTGAAAGCTTTTCTGATGTCATATTCTTGTTCTTTTTCCTTTCCCTTTTTGGTTAATTTCTTCCCAGTCATTTGCTTCTCAGTTGTTTGCTTTTCAGACCCTTGCATCAGATTCTTCTCAGCTTGTGCAAGTGCATTTAGGAAATCCTCACTGCCAAAGAATTCTTCATCTTGGCTTAGAATTGATGGTTCCCTAGCTACCACCTTTCCTAAAACTTCATCAACTTTTTTCACCAAGTCATTTCCAGGGAAGATATCCTTTGCCTTCACCAATTTTGAAGAAAGCTTTGACAGGTTTGAACAAGTTGTTTTTACCAGGGAAACAAAATCATCCATAAAAACCTATATGAATGAATATTAAAAATTATGCAGTTGAACATTTCAGATTATACAAATGAACATTTATGTTAACAAAAGTGATCATTTTATAACCTTAGGACTTTCTTCAACTTCTGCAGCAATCCTTGGTAGAATTTTCCCTCTCCCAAATCCCAATTCTAATTCAATCTTCAACCTCTCAAGAACCATGTCTCTATTCCATGCAGATATGATAGGAATTGTTCTTGGAGGCCTTTTGTCTAACCTCTGAACTCTATCAAAATAGAACAACTACAAGAAAAAAGAAAACATGGAACAGAACATAAACAATAAAAAAAAGTGCATTTATTTAAATTTAAATGAACATCTTGTATCTAAGAATATACCATCAGAAATTGAAGAGGGCCTTTGTAGAACCCCTTGCCTTGCTGCTTTCTCCAATCAACATGACATTTGATAAGTGAGTCATATACAAACTGACACCAGTTCAAATTTTTTATGTTTTCTTTGTCCATCATAGAATAAAGAAATTTGAAATGGCATTGATTGTTTGATACACATTTCATCAAGCAGTTCACAGCCACTGCTAAAAAGTTAGTAATGAAATGTTCACTTGGTGGTCTGTTGTTGGTGAATTTATCATTTATGTATCCATTCACAATCTGCAAACAAAATGAACAAAACATTTATACTTTTGATCATTTAATGTATTTAAAATGAACATTTAAAACTGATCATACCTGACTCACTGATGGAGTTTTTCCTGACCATGATTTTCTCCATTTCTTCAGAAATTCTGCATACTCCTCACTAATTTTATCAGACTTTGGCTCAACAATTGGAATTTCTCCTGTAGGCAAGCCATAAACTACCCTAACATCCTCTACCTAAATTTCTATTTTTTCATTCTTTGGTAATTCAAAACACTGGCTATTTTCTTCAAAACTTCCCAATAACCAGTTACAGAACTTTTGATCAAGTTGAGGTAAACTAATGTCAAGAAGTGATCCTAACCCTATATCAATAATTTGTTGTTTTTGGGTAGGTGTCATCTTTTTTATCCATGCAATGAACTTCACATGTCCTCCTCTCTTTGAAGATTTCTCTTCCTCAAATTCATCTTCCTGAATTTCCTCAACTTCATCAGTTTCTATTGCTTGAACCATTTCAGTTTTCATTTTCTTTTTTCTCCTACCTTCAATCTTTCCTTCATCATACAGTACCATCTTTTGCTCCTCCTTTTCAACCTTTGCCTTCACTGAATTCCCTTTCTTTGCCTGTTTCTTCCTTGGCTTTACTTCTTCCTCTTCCTCCTCTTCCTCCACCTCATAATCATCCTCACTGACAGGCTCTTCTTCTGCTCTATAAACTGACTCTTCACTATCATCATCACTGCCAG